GTCCGAAATGCAATGAGCCCTTTGGTATAAAGTTTTGATGAGAGAATTCTTTTGGGCTGGGTGGTGGTGGGAATCAGGTTGTAGCAACGTTGTGGCAACGTTGTGGCAACGCAAGTGGCCGCAACGTCGTGGAAATTTTATTGTGTTATATTATTATTTTATTCTCATTCTACTTGACTTTACCGAAATAACCCAAGAAGACCATTGTCATTGTTGTGCGTATTTAATGTGGAGCTGCACTCTGATGTTGTAGGAGTGTTGTTATAACAATTAGTGTTGTTATAACAATTCTATATTTATTTAAAGTTGCGCATTTTCATGTGACGTCACATTTCTCAACCCCCCCCCCCGCCTCGTCACACATCGTCACAAATGTCTGACCCCCCCCCCTCCCAGATGCGTGACGTCATTTATGTACGCTCCCTTAATAACCATTGCTACAGTCTACATTATAGACTGCCAGTACACTCACTCCGTTGACAGTCTACATTCGTATTTTTAAAATTATTTTTATTTAACTTTTTTTATTATTACAGTCCACATCCGTATGTTTTATTATTTATTATTTAACTTTTCATTATTTTTTATTCACTTTCTTTTTATTCATATCCACGTGACTTTACCGAAAGAACCAAAGAATATAGTCTATAGTAGTAGACGGTATTGTGTGGTGCATAGTAGTGGAGTGTATAGTAGTATGTATGTTGGAACTTCTTTCGCACCGTGTGTAGCCAACCACACACATCTCTGCGCGGTTCATGAACATCGCCCCGACGCTGGCTGGCCAAACATTCCACGCGGGTTGTTGATTCGCAGCACAACCAGAGATATGTTGCTGCAACGACAGCAACATATCGAACGGCATTTCCAGAAGAACCGCATGGTGGACGCTCTCGTCGGAGAGCTCCATCATCAACATCGAACTTGAGCCCCTAGTGAGACCGTCTGGAACGCGGCAAAAAAAGTCGCAGCGGTGTGCATGGGTGCCTCTCCCGTGCCCCCGAGTCCGACAGAAGGAGAACAGCCGGTCTGCAGGTGTCACCTCTGCACCGCTGCTGCCGGCAGGCGGTGGCACGTGTGCCCGGGTCACGTGCGATTCGATGGTGACTCAGGGTAATCGGATCACAATGCGGATCTTCGGGAAATGTTTGATGGGGTTTTTTTTTGCATAAGGGTTTAGGGGGGGGTTGGGTGAAGTGCTGTTGACACATTTTTCCACGTTTGGTTTGAAACGTGTGATTTTTTTAGAGATGCCGCGATCTCGCTATATCATGATGTGGGTTTTACGCCGTCAATTAGAGATTTGTTTGAGAGTATGTTTTAATTGTATAACAGAGCACTGTAACCAGGGGTGGAGTGGTGACGCAGTGGTTCACTCACAGTGCATGACCCCGGTGGTCAACGCCATCAATGATCCGTCCCGACCACCTGAGTTCGAACCCCGGCCACGTTTAACATCAGTGGCGAGCGATATCTGAACGTACTGACCAGCGTGGTGAAGTATGGTCGAACAAACCCCATGACCATTCAGACACGGGGAGTAGTCCTTCATCCAGCAGTGGGTTGACAATGGGGTTCACAGTAAACCCTCGAGGGTGATGTTCTTGAAAACGCTCGCAGATGCAGAATTCGTGAATGCTGCGACCATTTCTCTCTCTCTCTCCGCCTTGATGAAGACCGCTCCTGTTGCGATCGAAGCGTCGTGGGTTTTTTGCTTTTTAGTATTTTCAATTTATTATTTTTAAATCGTAATTTTATTCAATTATTTTTTTATATAATTGTATTATTTTCATTTAGTTTAATTTATTTTTTTTATTTTCTATCTACGTGACTTTACTGAAAGAACCAAGAATATGGGAGAAATGGGGTTACGTTCCTGGTACGAGTGGACAGGGGGGGTGGATGTTTAATGACGACAATAAATAAACAATAAATTATAAAGAACAATGTGTGTTTGTGACCCTTTGATGATGATTTGAATACTATGGAGGTGGTGGAGATGAATGCAGGAGGGAGAAGCAGGTGTTTGATAACGCCACACAGCTGTTATCATTCTAGCACTCTGGGCAGTGCTGCCCCGCAACACTTTCACCGACTGCCTTCGCGTTCCTTTTAATGGACCTCGCAGTCGACTCGTTTCTTCCAAAATGTATCGGCGAGTCCACTAAGTATGTATAAAGTTAAAATGCACAACAGCGAGTTCAGAGCGGGTTTCCTGCCAGACTGAGAACAAAGCGGGCAGCCGAGGGGGTGCGCCCAATCTTCGTAGCAGACAGTTTCAATGTTACAACGTTCTGCACGCAACCTCCCCCGTGTCGGTGGTCTGGCACTACGTTCACTCGCGAATACTCGAGCCCGGCGGGTCGCGAATAGGGAATGAGTACACATTCAGTAACTCGCGAATTCAGAACTCGGGCATGATAACGGATTGTTTACACGCTGCGCCAGTTACTCATTGAAGGCCAAGTTAACCTGGGAGTTGGGGGGGATCAGTGACCGGTTCAGATAATCATCACCGTCGTTTGCTGTGTGCGGGAATCGAACTCGGCTCGCTGGGTTCGTAGCGCAGTGCGCTAACCACTGTGCCACCGCTTTCCAGAATGCGGTGCGTACGCCCCAGGGTGCACAGAAACGTCAACTCCGGCGCCGGGAGGTGAACACTGTCAGCGACGTCGTTGTAAAGTCGTGCGGTGTGCGCCTGGCACGTGAATCATCGCGGCTCACGCACCCTGTAGCTCGTTCGCTGAGACAACACAGTAAAAATTTATTATAATAAAAAAAACTAACAATTTTACAAGGCACGCATATTTCACGTATCGGATGCATCGTTCGATCGGGAACTCGAGAGGCACAGATCCAGATGTCAAAGTCCCTCCTCGTACTCCAGCCTGGGCATGTGCGAGCCTGGAGCTGCTGCTTATAGGTGCTTGGATGCTGCTGCTGCTGCTGAGTGAGAAGCAGAGAAACGGCGCTCAGCCGAGGACAGTCCACGGTTCTCGATATATAACGAGCAGGCCATGGAATATACCGAACTGTGCTCCGTAGGACGTTTTGCCGTGGTCAGCGGAGTGTGGAAGGTGTAGGAGAGGTACAGAGGAAGACCTGGTGAGAGAGAGAGAACTCGGGGCAGCAGGAGAGCAGTGTTGAGCTGTGCCCATAGTTTGTTGGCGAGCCAGGGTAAAGGTTGGAGCGAAGACATGGAAGCCGCGGGGTTATGGTGGAGCCACTGCAGTTTGGAGTCGTGTTCAGAGATGGGCAAATTACAATCAAATTACAGACCGCTTGAGTCTTCTTCTGTCATATGGCTGATGCAGATGCAGAGCAACAACTACAAATTCACGTTCAGGTGGTTATCAAGCCACACAACCGCGTCAGGAGCAGCTGTGAAGTCTCCTTCGTATTTGTGGATCTGCCATTGCGTCGTTATACGTTGTGCTACGGTCTGTTCTGGATGACCACAGTCGCACACTGCAGCGTTTTAATTTTTCATTTGTGCATCAGATGCCGACATCTACTGCCATGGTTTGTGCAGTGGATGTGGTTTATGGTGGACCATGAACTTCGTGGAAGATCGAACCCAGGGATCTTCTGCGTTGTGTCTTTCACAAGGTGGTGTTTAAATTTTGATTTAAAGCTTTCGTGACTGCAGTAATTCATATTCTTAGTTTTTTCGGTAAAGTCACGTTGAAGAGAAACAACAAAATAACAAAATATATATAAAACAATAAAAATTCTCACGACGTTTCGATGATGACCGTTTGAGTTATGGTCGAAACGTCGTGAGAATTTTTATTGTTTTATATATATTTTGTTATTTTGTTGTTTCTCTTCAACGTGACTTTACCGAAAAAACTAAGAATATAAGGTGGTGTTTGTGAGTTATTTTGAACTCCATTCAGCTCTCCTAGCTTCATCCGGGTTGAACTCACATTGAAGAATGTTGAGCACGTGGGTCTAAAAGGGCTTGGCGTGACTTCAAGCGATACCCAGGGACGTTGTTGAGGTCCTCGTGAATGGGAAGGCGACTGCTTTCCTCGATTTTCAGGCCTTCCTGGAGGGTTGCAGCGTTGCGGCGGATGGGTGGGACAGAGATTTGGTGACAGCACGGGCAGCCAGGGTGTTGGTGTCCACTCGAGGGTTCCAGTGATCTACCACATTGCAGTGGTCAGTTGGACATCAACAAGTGGAGTGGTGACGACGTCTGGTCCAGACTGCTACACAGCACTCAGCTACAGGGTACACGAGGGCCATCGTTAATGTCCGTAGCACTGAGGGTGCTGATGCCTTCCCAGCCTGTGATTGCCAGTTTCTGGACCAGGTTGACCTCTTGTTTTGGTCGTGGCGGCTACCTTATTCAGGTGGTGGGGATTTGGCTTGAGCTCCATTTAGTGTTTAGGTTATGGTTCAGAGTGGATTCGATGTCGTTGAAAGTGGCTACTTGCGCTGCCAAGGGAAAGTCATCCGCATGTACTAATTTGCATTTCCCAGTTGGTGGCATGTCGCTCGTGTAGCTATTGAAGAGCGTTTGCGCGAATACTGGACCTTGTGGCAATCCATGGTTGAGGAACCGCTGTGAGCTGAATTTGTCGCCCATAGAGACACGCAGTCGCCTATTGCTTAGCATCATCCATATCAGGAGTATTGTTTCGAGGCAGGGAATGGTCCTAAGCGAGCTTCAGCATCAACCCCTTAACCCAGACTGTGTCGTAAGTCCACGAAGGATGCGCCGGTCTTGGCTTTCTTCTGGAATCCAGCCTCGATGTGCGTTGCATGCCTTGTTCACAGCAGCTGCATCCAGGCCGGAATCCCGCTTGTTCTTCAGGGATCACTGACTCGACGAGGGGGCCGATTCTCCAGGGGATGATGCATTCCAGGAGTTTAAAGGTCGTGCATAGGAGCGATATTGGCCTATAGCTTCCCAGGTCGGCTTGCCCAGTTTGGGAATGGCAATGACCATCGCCTCCCGCTATGCTTTCTTTTGGTATGTTTTCATCTTTTCATGGTTTTGGTGGAGTCCCCTTGAGCCTAAGTGATGGAGGAATTCATGGGGGACACCATCTCTGCCGGCAGCCTTGCCTTTCTTAATTGAGAAGAAATTGAGGCCGTTACCTGGCGTAATTAGTGATGGATCTCTCACTTGCTGTTTTTGTCGAGCTGTGCTTTTGTGTTCTCCACTAGTATGGAGGCTATAGAGTTGGGTAGGACTCTTGCAGTTCAGTATTCTATTGAATTAGCAGCACCCAGGCGTCGTAGTGGGGCCCAGGCATGGCGGCCGAAGTGTGTAAAGACTCTAGCAGGGCCTTTGCAACCTGTAGGATGCCCGACTGGTTGTACTGTCGGAGCAGGTCCTGGGTCTCTTTTGTCCAGCAGGGAGTAGAATCTTTCCGGAAGCCTCAGGGGATGCTCTTCTTGGCAACTGCAGTCAGAAGGCCAACAAAATGGTGATAGTATTCCGGTGGCACAGCAATTTGACTCACCACTCTTTCTAAAGCCTCCTTAGTGAGCTTTAACCAGGTTCCACTTTGGTAATCGTTTTGACAGAATCATGGGGATTTCGATGCCGATGTGGGTGATGATGGGCCTATGTTGCTTGCTACTTGGGATCGAAAATCAGGTGCAAATCTTCGGCAGACATCCAGTCAGTGAGGTCTTCGCCGTCGGTCTGATTTAATGCATAGCTCCACGTAGCATGGTGGCTGTTAAAGTCACCAACGTATAGGACTGGGATCGGTGCACTTGGGAGTGCTGGCTTTAGACATTTTGAATTAGAGGCTTTGTAAAGGTTGGTGACGTGCAGCTCCCCATCTCGATGCTGTTGGCTTCTTTTTCAGTTCCATGCGTTTAGAGTATTTGGCTGCTATACATTTACACATGATTAGCCACGTCACTGAGCTATCATTTGTGGCCAGGTCGTTTCTGAAAAAGAGCTATATAGCTAAGTGGACCATACCTGGTAAAATAAAATAAAATAGTTTAGTTAAGTGGGAATGCGTATATGTGTGTGATGGCGTTCTTCACGTATATGGCCAAGTCACATTTTGGGTGGCCGTGGCTTGTCGTGAGGTTGTATCCATGGCTGTTGAAGTGACTGGCATGTAGGGTATCCAAGACGTGGGTTTTTTGGAGTGTTAGAACATCGATGTTATGGCTTTTCATTATGTTTGCGAGATACTCGCACTTTGTCCGGGAGAGTCCCTCAATGTTCAGACCACTGCAGTAATGTAATGGAAGTGGGGACTCCAAATATACGGTTTGCAGAGGCAGATTCTGCAGCAGTCAGCATTGGTAACTATACCGTGCTTATAAGTCCTAATGATGATGAAGCTGGTCCACATATGTCTATGACTGCATCGTCATCATCACTGCTGTTGGCAGTTATATGTCCTCACATTTATTGTGATGGTCACCTAATACAAGAAGACTACGATTCAGTTCTTTATGAACTGCAGCTGGTTTATTGCAAGATCTACAACGGCTGTCCTACTATTGACTAATATAGTGTCCGTACATTGTTTAAAATGTAGAGTATCATTATAGATATAGACAACCGATTAAACTGCATCACGTGTAATTTTGATTAAAGTTGCCAATTTCAATGAGGTATAATTTAGATACCAAATTATACGATTAATGAAGTTACATATTTAAATTACATGTAATTTATAGATCATGCCATCATCTCAGCCCCCAAGTTTGCGCCGGAGAGGTCAGGACACGTGATGGCGAAGTAAGGTCTCACGACTACGTGGGCCACGGTGGCTTGCTTGGGTTCCGATCGACATAAAAGTGCGCTGTGCGCTGTGTTCACATGACAACTAAAATGTACCCAGTATTTAAACGGAGATCCGGGGTTCTTCGAGGTCTTCTGTCTCCTTTGCGGGTTCCCGGCTCATCACTGATTAAAGGACAGCTCATCCTATAGAGAGGATTCATTCGCAGCCGCGAACTCAGTTTAGTTGCGCTGCTGTGCGACAGGTCACGGAATCCTAAACAGACGCTGCACGTCAGCGTCTCTTCCATCTAGGGTGGCCCTCTGCTTCCGCAGGACATGGCTCGCGCTGGCGACGATGGGAAAGGTTTACTGGCAGTCCTGACACCCTGGTGTGTCTGTTGATGCAGCGTGGTGATTTGGGGATGACGTCGGTGGTGGTGGCGTCGCGTCGTTGGTGGTTATTGTAGTTGCAGCAGAGCCTGTGGTGATGTTAATGGTGGTGGCGCTGCTGGTGGCGGCATCGCTCGTCGCTTGCAAGCGGACGGAAGCTGCCGCTCGGTGTGCGAGGGGGACGGAGGGATGAGGCTTCTTAGATGAGGTTGTGGACCTTGAGGTTCTCGCTGAGCACCGTGTGGCGCACGTCGGTGAACACGATGCGGATGTTGTCGGTGTCGGTGGCGCACGTGAAGTGCGAGAACACGATCTTGCTCTTGTTCTTGTTGGCCTGGAGGTACAGCTCTTGGATGAACTGCTGGGCGGCCTTTGCGTCCTTTGGTTTGCCTGGCTCGCACACGGAGGGCGCACGCACGGTCACGCGCAGTCATGCGCGGTCACGCACACGTGACCAGGCACGGTAACGCACACACCGTTTGCCAATTAACAATACTAATAATAATAGTTGAGTACGTTTGGTATTCATGGTCTTCGTGTAGTCGAGGGGCTATTGCAAAGGAAGGCGCAACGGTGCACAGACGGATATATCCTGCCAGTAGTGAGCGACGTTGCTCTGTGCAATCCCAATTGAGGCATTTGCAGGAAAATCGTGCAAACTTGGACTGCGACGCCGGCACAAAAAGGGGCTGCTCGTTTCAAATAACGCTGTCCACTGCGAAGGTAGACACGGCGCGTATTCATTTGGTTGATGCCGCTGCATTAACCATGCAAATTTGAACCATGAACCTCTGCGACGAGCGGCGAACACCGCTGCCGCCGGGACCTCACATCGACACCGCCGCCCATGAAGCGCCACGTGCCACCGTCGGAGCTCGCACCTCTGTAGGCCGGGAAGTAATCGGCGAGGTTCGACTGCTGCACCTTCTCCTCCAGGATGTCCTTTTTGTTCAGGAATAGGATGATGCAGGATGTCTCGAACCACCGGCACTCCAGGATGGTGCTGAACAGCGCCAGGCTCTCCAGCATGCGGTTCTGGCGATGCAATGGCATAAAAAAAACGCAAAAGCACAACTTGGTCATCAGGACTCACAACGAACCCCGTTAGTTGTTTGGAGCTGACTAGACAACACAACGGAGTGATAGCATCGAAGTCCAACAGCGCTAGCGAACCATACAGATGGATGTTAAACAACTTACATGGCAATGCTACTGCTACGTTGGCAGCAGCGACGCACGATTTACAAGACGACTCAACACGTTCGTCATTAACTACACCGTGCATGTGGCCATAAGAGGAAATAAAATATGCAACAGGGAACGTTTTGGGCAATGGCCCCTCTTCACGGTGGCTAGGAGATGTTAACTACCTCGCCTGGTATACAGGAGGTTGTCGGTTTGATCACGAACCTGACACCTGCTGCTGTATATTTGGAGTCTGCGTCTCTCTCTCTCTTATCATCACGGTGGCTAGGAGATGTTAACTACCTCGCTTGGTACACAGGAGGTCGTGGGTTTGTTCCTGAACCTGACGTCTATATATTTGGAGTTTGCGTGTCTCTCTTATCATCACGGTGGCTAGGAGATGTTAACTACCTCGCCTGGTATACAGGAGGTCGTGGGTTTGATCCCGAACCTGACGTCTATATATTTGGAGTTTGCGTGTCTCTCTTATGATCACGGTGGCTAGATGTTAACTACCTCGCCTGGTATACAGGAGGTCGTGGGTTTGATCCCGAACCTGACGTCTATATATTTGGAGTTTGTGTGTCTCTCTTATGATCACGGTGGCTAGATGTTAACTACCTCGCCTGGTATACAGGAGGTCGTGGGTTTGATCCCGAACCTGACGTCTATATATTTGGAGTTTGCGTGTCTCTCTTATCGTCACGGTGGCTATGAGATGTTAACTACCTCGCCTGGTATACAGGAGGTCGTGGGTTTGATCCCGAACCTGACGTCTATATATTTGGAGTTTGCGTGTCTCTCTTATGATCATGGTGGCTAGATGTTAACTACCTCGCCTGGTATACAGGAGGTCGTGGGTTTGATCCCGAACCTGACGTCTATATATTTGGAGTTTGCGTGTCTCTCTTATCATCACGGTGGCCAGATGTTAACTACCTCGCCTGGTATACAGGAGGTCGTGGGTTTGATCCCGAACCTGACATCTGTATATTTGGAGTTTGCGTGTCTCTCTCCCTGTGGTCACGTGGATTTTTCTCCAGGTCCTCCGGTTTTTCCCTCCACAATTAGAAACATGCGTTTAGAGTGCTTGGCTGCTATACATTTCCACATAAGGGGCCGTCCATAAATGACGTCACGCACCCGGGGGGGGGGGGGGGTCAGACATTTGTGACGATGTGTGACGAGGGGGGAGGTTTGAGAAATGTGACGTCACATCAAAATGCGCAACTTTAACTAAATATAAACAACACGTTCTACTTTATTAAATAGAATTGTTATAACAACGCTAATTTTGATTAATTTTCATTATTAACTATTTGAGTATTTAAATTTACTAAGGTCACCTTTTATTTATTCCATGAAGGGGCATTTTGCTTCTCCATGGGAGAATGGAGAAGCTTAAATTTTGAACATTTTTTTAATGATGGTTATTAAACATTTTTAGTCTAATGATTCTACCAGGGCTTTTCATTCTGTGGAATGAATATGCGATTGTTATAATTGTACTCTCCATTTTGCTTCGTTCTACTACAAAGTTTCAAGTATTTTTTTAAATAGTTATAATTACTTTTAATATTTTATAATTATAAGATCATTTCAATATAATATTCTGAACATTAGCAGTTTTAGGTAGACGTTTAATATTTTCAAGTGAATTTTATGCTAAATTTAAGCTTTCCAACGCCTCCTTTTTAATAAATGTTTTCTCCTACAACATCAGAGTGTAGCGCCACATTAAATAGGCACTACAATGACAATAGTTTAAAGCGATTTGAAGCATGTTTTATTTTCAAAATGGAAATATGGTTTTGGGGGGGGGGGCAGAGCTTTGTGACGTCATATTTGAGGGGGATCTGACTTTTTGTGACGCCGTGTAACGAGGGGGGGGGGGGGGGGGAGGGGGTCCAAAATCGTCCAAAATCGCGTGACGCCATTTATGGACGGCCGCTAAGCCACTTTGTTGAGCTATTTGTGGCCAGGTCGCTTCTGAAAAAGAGCTACTGTATACAGTTCAGTGGCCCTTACCTGCTGAAATACAAATAGTGGTAGTCGTGGTAATGGCCAGAGTGGAGAATAGTTTAGGACTGCACCATGGGGCCTGATGAGAATTTACTTTCTCTTAAAATGTTCTGATGACCAGCTTTTAATTGGCACGCGAATAGTTAACGAATAGTAGCTGTTGGGTAGCATCTCTTGAGGATCACACGGCATGAGATGACCCTGTCGTGCACGCAGTCAACACGCAGCTCTGCGATCGCTCACTCACCACACTCCGAGTGGTGATGCCCCCCCCCCGCCCCCCCCCCCCCCCCCCCACGAGAGGGAGCCCTCGAGCGTCCCTCTAGAGGAGGATATTTGGCCTACTCTTCCACACTTTCCAGATATCTCGGTGGTACCCACACTTTACGCCACCACACGCGGCCTGCGGGGTGGACAGAGGCAACGGGTGGGATTTAAAGAAATGTTTCCGTTGTTTGAGCTGCCGTTGCCGGGAGATCGAACTGTCGACCTGTGGATCACGTGGTTTGTGCTCAGCTGGAAGGAGTGAGTCGACTCTTAACGATGTCCTTAAGGAAAGAGGTTATGCGTGGCAGACACAGCCACCCACACGGATGGGCATCGACTGCGTGGTGATGTCTGTCACCTCGCCTGGAAGCGTGAGCCATTGGAAAAGGCCAAGTGACGCTTCATTAGTTTCATAACACAACTCTAGTGTACTAAATTCTAAGCTCTTCTTTAAAGGGGCTTAAGTGAGACACTGTAGTCTAAGTGATGCCCTGTGGTCTAAGTGATGCCCTGTGGTCTAAGTGATGCCCTGTGGTCTAAGTGATGCCCTGTGGTCTAAGTGATGCCCTGTAGACTAAGTGATGCCCTGTGGTATAAGTGAGACACTGTAGTCTAAGTGATGCCCTGTGGTCTAAGTGATGCCCTGTGGTCTAAGTGATGCCCTGTAGTCTAAGTGATGCCCTGTAGTCTAAGTGATACCCTGTGGTCTAAGTGATGCCCTGTGGTGTAAGTGATGCCCTGTGGTCTAAGTGATGCCCTGTGGTGTAAGTGATGCCCTGTGGTCTAAGTGATGCCCTGTGGTCTAAGTGATGCCCTGTAGTCTAAGTGATGCCCTGTGGTGTAAGTGATGCCCTGTAGTGTTGCGTCTTGAAGACGATCGCTTGTGTTGCGATCGAAACGTCGTGGTTTTTTGTTTATTTGCATTAATTTTGAACCCATCTATGTGACTTTACCGAAAGAACCAAACAATATGAATTCCTGCAGTCACGAAAGCTTTAAGTCGGGACCTTGATTCTTCATCGACCAATTGTGACCGGTCCATTCCTGAGTGTGACCGGACGGAAGGCTCGCTGCCCGTCCCCAAGCCCTCCCCACCACTCATCACGCTGCTCCACACACGTGGAATGCGGAAGAATGCCCTCATGTTACAGGGCCGTGTTGACACGCTGCCACACAATGGCTTGACATAATTGGGCGTCGCCATGGGCACCCAACGCCCTCAGTCTCGACTCACCTAGCCCGCACGCACCCCTTTGTCTCGTGGCTTTCCCACCACTCACAGAATGAGACTTTAGAATTGGACTACTGTCGCCCTGAGGCAGCGCCAGCCGTCCCCCACAGCGAGCAGGGAGGGGCGGTCCAGCAGGCACAAGGCGACGGTGGCTGTGCGGATGAGTCGTGGGTGTTGACCCGTGTGGGAGGAAACTAGAGAAATGCACGCGGTGCTAGGGGGCAACGCTCTATCCCCTTACAGATGGGACAGATGACGACGGTAGTCCGCACTTTGCCATGGTACGGCTCCTCCTCGACGCCCACGGGAAGGGGGAGTGTCACGACATCTCTGCGGTGATCCACCAACCCTGGCCACTGCCTCCGCAGTGCTGGATTACAGGCAGCCACGTGCACAGCGACCACTCCCCGGCTGACGTTCGAGGCTGACGACGACGACGACAGCAGGAGCAAGAGGGGTGCGAGCGAGGCAAGGGGCCCCGAGACTCACCACGTGACCTTCCTCCATGAGCACCTGGTCGTACTCGCTGAGCGCCGCCAGGAACATGACGGACTCCACGTTCTCGAAGCAGTGGATCCACTTCCTCCGCTCGGACCGCTGCCCCCCCACGTCCACCATCCTGGAGAGGGGGGGAGGCGAGGACGGGGGGGGGGGGGGGGAGGTGGAGGAGGTGACGAGAGAGATGAGAGGTCAGGAGTCGAAGTTCGTGGATGGGGAAAGTGCTTGCAACTAATTAGCCGCAGCGACATTGTAATTCTACTAATTTAATATCATTGATGCGATCATCATCAACACCACCGCTTTAGTATGTATTGCCACCATCGTCATCGTTATTCAACTGCTGGATGAATGCTCCTTTATCCCTTCGCACATCTTTGTCATCAAGATGGCCAACCACCTCCCATCCCCTGGTCGTCATTGAATAACTTCCTTCATTGTTTTCTGTCCCTCCCCCCCCCCCCCCCCCCCCCACTCTGTGACACAACGACACCCTGATCTCTTGCATCCTTGCTCACCTAAGGACCATCTTGTTGAGCGTCAAGGGGTACTCGATGATGCCGGTGGTGGGCACGCGGACTCGCAGCACGTCCTGCTGAGTGGGCACGTAGCTGGGGGATACCAGCCGGCTCAGGTCGTTCAGGTAGCTGCGGCGGAGGAGGACGGGACGGGGTCACTCGGAGGGTCGCGTGATCCGGAATTCTCGCAGAGGAGTGCTCTGTGTTGAAGACCGGTCCCACAGAAGCAGACGCCACTGAACTACTCCTGAGTTCCGTGGGATTGACCGCCGTATATGAACACAGTAGGGGGGGGGGGGTCGCTAAATGTTCTCACCTGACTTTCCGCAGATTAATGTCACATCACAGTCAGACTTGTGTGTTTTTTTTCAGAGCTTTTCTTTAGCCTGAATTTAGTGATCCAAATTGAACGTGACGATTTTGTTGTGCAAGGCTCCGACCAACTCTGTGCGCTTATTAAGACCACGGTTTGGTCACAGGCGGCTGAAACCCAGACGCAAATACGGGATCTCAAAAGGCGGCGGCTTGGTGCTCAATGATCAGTGAGGGCACGCGGCCAACTCTCACCAAGCCACGGAAGGCCGCGTCACTGCGGGACCGCCCCACTCACTATTTGGTGGAGTCGCTGATCTGGAACTCCCGGCGGCGCTCGTAGCAGTTCTTAATGCCGGCGTCGGCCCACAGGCTGGCGATGGCGCGAGCACACTGGTCATTCAGGCTGTTCACCTTCATGGAGTCCAACTCCTGGACAAAGCGTGCGTGTACCTAGTGGTGGCGGGGGAGCAAACGGGCCCCGGGGGAACAGCAGGGTCACGGGGGGACAGTGGGGTCACGGGGGGACAGTGGGGTCAGGGCCCCTGGGGCACAGCGGGGTCACACGCCCCACCAGATAAACATTTTGAAGGCTTACGTCGACCCAGGGGAGGCCCACAACCGGTTCAGATATTCACGACCGTTATTGGTCGTAAGCGGCAATTGGAAGTTGGGTCGTTGGGTTTGGAGCACAGCGCGCTAACCGCTGTGCCACCGCTCCCTTGTGGGACAGCCACCCACACACACAGACCGCTCGTGGTCCTGGGCGAGCATGACCGACCACGCGACGCCACACCGGCACTTGTGCCGCCCAGCGCGAGGCGGTGCAAGGGGACAACGCGACGACGACAATAACCCCGGGCGGTGCTGCCGTTCAGATGCCGCTCATGTAAACGAAGGTGCTGGGGGAAGGCGGTTGGGGCGGGGGTTGTGCTCGACGGCCCCGTGTTGCAGGGAGCCGGTTGGTGCTGGGCGGTGCCGGGTGTCGCACCTCCAATTGGCACAGTTGCCTACGTATGGTGCCAAAGAATTTCGACATACAGCCCGGCGGCACCGGGGCCCGGCACTCACCCGGTTGCTCTCCTTCTCGTACGGAATGCCCAGGGTGTGCATGGCATGCGCCAGGCTCTGCATGCTGGCCAGCACGTTCTGGTGGACCTGCTTGGCGAAGCTTCGCCGGTCCTCCTCGGTGTAGCCCAAGCCGTGAATGATGCGCATCTGCTTGATGAAGGTGCTCTTGCCGCTCTCGCCCGTGCCTGCGGAGGAGGGAGCGACAACCCTCAAGACAGCTCCACAGCCACAACCAGAGCCCTGCAGTCTCCATCACAGCCCCGTAGTCTCCATCACAGCCCTGCAGTGTCACTCACAGCCCTGCAGTCTCCATCACAGCCCCGCAGTCTCCATCACAGCCCTGCAGTGTCACTCACAGCCCTGCAGTGTCACTCACAGCCCTGCAGTGTCACTCACAGCCCTGCAGTGTCACTCACAGCCCTGCAGTGTCACTCACAGCCCTGCGGTGTCAATCACAGCCCTGCAGTGTCACTCACAGCCCTGCAGTGTCACTCACAGCCCTGCAGTATCAATCACAGCCCTGCGGTGTCAATCACAGCCCTGCAGTGTCACTCACAGCCCTGCAGTGTCACTCACAGCCCTGCAGTGTCACTCACAGCCCTGCAGTGTCACTCACAGCCCTGCAGTGTCACTCACAGCCCTGCAGTGTCACTCACAGCCCCGCGGTGTCACTCACAGCCCTGCAGTGTCAATCACAGCCCTGCGGTGTCAATCACAGCCCTGCGGTGTCACTCACAGCCCTGCAGTGTCACTCACAGCCCTGCGGTGTCAATCACAGCCCTGCAGTGTCACTCACAGCCCTGCAGTGTCACAGCCCTGCAGTGTCACTCACAGCCCTGCGGTGTCACTCACAGCCCTGCGGTGTCAATCACAGCCCTGCGGTGTCAATCACAGCCCTGCGGTGTCAATCACAGCCCTGCGGTGTCAATCACAGCCCTGCGGTGTCACTCACAGCCCTGCGGTGTCACTCACAGCCCTGCAGTGTCACTCACAGCCCTGCAGTGTCACTCACAGCCCTGCAGTGTCACTCACAGCCCTGCAGTGTCACTCACAGCCCTGCGGTGTCAATCACAGCCCTGCAGTCTCCATCACAGCCCTGCAGTGTGAATCACAGCCCTGCGGTGTCAATCACAGCCCTGTGATGTCAATCACAGCCCTGCAGTGTGAATCACAGCCCTGCAGTCTCCATCACAGCAGTGTGAATCACAGCCCTGCGGTGTCAATCACAGCCCTGTGATGTCAATCACAGGGCTGTGATGTCAATCACAGCCCTGCAGTGTGAATCACAGCCCTGCGGTGTCACTCAGCCCTACAGTGTGAATCACAGCCCTGCAGTGTCAATCACAGCCCTGCAGTGTCACTCACAGCCCTGCAGTGTCACTCACAGCCCTGCAGTCTCGCGTGGCAGGGATTGATTTACATCGAGAGCTGGTGGCATCGTGTTGAACTGCATTACAGTATTCTACAGTCCTGATTAGACCTGGTGCTCGCTGACAAGCATGGCCACGTGTGTATTTCGTGTAGAAGGTGGCACGCAGAGTAAATAGGTGCTCGCAAAAAACAAGCGGATTATGCCTCCAGTTCCGTTAGCGGAATGGCTGGAAGCCGGAGTCACCGACCCCATGGGCCATCACCATCATAGCCACCACCACCACCACAACCACCACCACCACCACAACCACCACCACCACCACAACCACCACCACCACAACCACCACCACCACAACCACCACCACAACTACCACCACAACCACCACCATAACCACCACCACCACAACCACCACCACCACCACCACAACCACCACCACAACCACCACCACCACCACAACCACCATCACCACAACCGCCCTGCTACCACCACCACAACCGCCACTGCTACCGCCACTGCTACCACCACCACAACCGCCACTGCTACCACCACCACAACCGCCACTGCTACCACCACCACAACCACCACTGCTACCACCACCACAATCACCACCACAACCGCCACTGCTACCACCACCACAACCGCCACTGCTACCACCACCGCCACTGCTACCACCACCACAACCACCACCACAACCACCACCAGCACAACCGCCACTGCTACCACCACCACAACCGCTACCACCACCACAACCACCACAACCACCACCAGCACAACCGCCACTGCTACCACCACCACAACCGCCACTGCTATCACCACCACCATCACGGCCTCCTCGGGTGTCACAGAAATTGGGTTTAATTTTAGGTTCTGGAGAAATGTGGCCTGGGAAACGCGAGCTAATGGCATCTGGCGCCGCTCTCCCAGAGAGCCTCTCCGCCAAATAACATTAATCTCGATAACAACAACAAGAACCTCCGACCGTGGTGGTCACAAACACCATCAACTGAGCTAGATTCCCTGGCCATGGCTAACATCGATTTATCTGACCCTGACCACTGTAGTAATTCCATAGGCGCGTGCCAATCCCTCTACCCTACCCCCGCTGCCCCCCCAACCCGCCCTTCACCAACCCGCAGTGACCAGCGGAGTGAAGTATGGTCAAACAACTCCATTCAGTGGACTGTCAAAGGGGCCGCAGTTGATTAGAATCGTGAACAATAATGGCGATGGACTTAACGCGTGCATTTTCGTAACCAATATTATGATCAATGTAACGATGTGGGCAAATTTGTCATTAACACCCTGCACCACACAGCAAAACAGATTCAATTGGCAGGCGTACACGAGTTTGAGGGCACGCCAAGAATGACTTTTGTTCTCAAACTCACTCTCTGGTGAGTTAGAGAACAATTATCACAAACAAACTTAGCACACGCTTCATTTGAATTTGCATCAAACCGCCGTGCACAGTGCCGCACTTTGTCACGCGTTAGTGGCTGTTCACGCTTATTCTGTGTTTTCGACGAACGGTAAACGTGTGACTACCGTTCATCGACGATAAACTTCTGACACGGCCATGTCAGCGGTGGCAGCGACAACGCATCGTCGACATGCGCCGAGACGACGTTTACTCAAGGGACATTAATGCGCATCAGCTGGAGGGAACGGAGAATGACGAGAACGTTGCCTCGGTATGCGGACATTGGACTCTGCGGGAGTCGTCCTGGTGCCAGAAGGTAGCGCAAGGCACCGTGAAACAAAGCCGGCCAAGCCGCCACCGACGTTTGTCCAGTCTGTTATCGTTTAACACGTGGCACCTTTCTGACACAAATCTGCCACCCAAAGCACCCGGCGGGCATGCCTTGGGTCCACTTTGAACAAGCGTTCCGGGCCACGATGGACGCGGCTGGCTGGACGCAGGAAGAGCCACTCCAAGAACTGCCCACCCTCTCGAGCAGCGACACGCCGGACGCTTGTCTCGTTATTCCTGTGGCCAGATGTGGCACACTCGACGGCGCCCTGAGGAGGGAGATGGCGACTTTGTACGGACCGCCTTTGGGGGCCCTGCTGCTCCAACAGTTTCAACAATTGGAGAGGAGAATCGGACAAATGTCGCATATTATTCCCTGGCTTGGCCTTCCTGCGTTGGCACATCCTGTCGATTCAGGTGTGATTACCTCGCTATTATGGAGCTTATTAAGTAGTGGCTTGCCCCTGGTTGGAGTGTAGCGGTCCCCCAGAGATGCCGCCAGGCGACCCCCGTATCCTGAGCACCGCTGCCATGCTAAGCACAGTTCGAGACCACGGTGTTTGGCGTGATCCTCAACAGTGGCGCACATCCATCTCAACCACAGTCTGTCCCCGAGGTCGGATCCACCAGTACCGCGGTCGGCCTTTGATGATGGTGCGCAGGGCTCTGGTGCAATCGACTGAGGCCAGTAGCATAACTATTTTTTTTTTACCAGGTAAGGACCACTGAGCTATATAGCTTTTTTTCAGAAGCGACCTGGCCTCAAATGATAACGAGCATGGAGGAAGAGGGTGCCTTGGCCCCCTGGTGGCCAAAGCTACGAGTTGGGGTCCCCTTGACAACCACCATGAGATATGTTTTCAACAGTGTGAATGAACAAAGAAAAGTTCAAATGCGACCGTGCGAGACATCAAATAAAGTGTCCACACTTGACCGATTACCACACCCCCTGAGCTGATAATGTAGTTATGTCACTGGCCGAGGCGTCTGCACGGGAAAGGTGTCTGAAGGAACACTAAATGACAACTGCGTGCTGGGAACAAACACCAGAGCTGGCACTGAACCCCGCCATGCTGAGTTGCACAGCGGCAATGTCTCCACCGTGCCCTGGTAGTGCATTGTCATTCACTCTTTTTCACCTGTTCCCACCACAATGTCGTGAAGTGATGCATTCAAACTGTCTGAGAAGTTGGATGCATTGTAAAGTCAGATACTGCATGCTCATGAACATAGAAATGGACACTCAAATCATCTAAACTGGGCAATTCTTTTGTTAAATTTCTGCAGCGAAAATAGAAATTGGCGGACATCTTTAAAAATGTCTGCCAAACTTGAATTGTCAAGTGGCTCACTTTTGTCTCTGAAAACATTCACCTTGTGAATATCTCAAGCAAGCTCCATGCTTGTATCACAATTTGAACGATTCCTGTGGAGAACACGCACTTATCTGCTGTATCACTATCAGCAGAGTAGAGTCCTCAACTCCCCTCTAACGCACTCTTGGTGTTTTCGGTGAAGTCACGTAGGTAGAAATAAAATAAATAACGATATTTCGATCGCAACCATCATCAGGCGGAACCGATACAGCAGGACAACTGCTGATTTAGGATAAAGATCTGCTAACAACAAGAGCTTATAAAGGGTTTTGGTGGACTCAACCCCAGGGTTAAAGTGGGAGAAGGAAGAAAGGGGGGAGGCAAGAAGGAGGGAGGGAGAGGGGAGTTGAACACAGGTAATAGATGGAAGGTAGTTGGGTTAGTGTCGTCCGAGTAATCGACTCGTAAGACGCCATCCACGCGGTCTGGCTCCTTTGTTCACGGCTCTTCATTTCGACAATCAGAGTGGACACGGGTTGGTGGCTCAAGAGAGAAGGGGGTGATGATTACGTGATGAGGCAATTATTGGGGTCCACCCGGGAATCAGAGGAGGAAGAAAGAAAGAGTGTGGGGGGGGGATACTTAATTGGATGGGGTATAAAAGACTCGCAGCGTACAGAAGGAGAGAGTCGGCGGGACAGCAGCTGAAGTGAGGGCCGGGAGGAAGAAGGCGCTGGGCCGATGTTAATTGGCAAAATGTTAACTACCTCACCTGGTATACAGGAGGTGGGTTGGATCTCTACCCTGACGCCTTCATGTTTGGAGTTTGCGTGTTCTCCCTTTGGTCGCGTGGATTTTTAAGAGGGTCGTCCGGTTTCCCCCCCTCCACATTTAGAAACACGCGTTTAAGCGTATTTGGATGCTATAAATGTCCACATGATAAGCCATTTCGTTGAGCTATCATTTCTGGCCAGGTGGGTTCTTAAAAAAAAGAGCGATATATTTTGGTGGGCCTCATCTGATGAAATAACATTTTAGTTTAGTTTGATGGCTCAAAGCGGGCGCGGACCCTTTCTAGGTAGGGGAGGGGGGACGGGGAGGGGGGACGGGGGGGGGACCAGGGGGGGCCAGGGGGGGGCCAGGGGGGGGGCGAAGATTCCGCGCGGTGAAGCGCGCGGAGTGGTCGGGGCGCGAAACGGGAGACGCGGGGAGGGAAACGGGAACGCAGGGAGGCAGGTGACGAGCACAACTTAGACGCAGAGAGGCTGGTGATGAGTTGTTCAAGGTTATGTAGAGTCGTTCACCAATACGCATAATAATCAAAGTGTCACTCCCGTGCATCGACAACGAGCCTCCTACGTGGGCATTTAATCTGCGTCCCCCCGTCTCCCTCTGTTCTCCCGTGCCCCACTGCCTCTCCGTGTCCCCACGTCTTCCCGTCTCTCTCTCCTTTCCCGACCCAACGCGTCCTCCTCTGTCCCCCCCCCCCCCCCCCCCGTGTCTCACCGTGTCCTCGCTATGCCTCCGTGTCCCCCCCCCGTGTCTTCGCTATGCCTCCGTGCCCCCCCCCCGTGTCCTCGCTATGCCTCCGTGTCCCCCCCCCCCGTGTCCTCGTTATCCCTCCGTGCCCCCCCCGTGTCTCACCGTGTCCTCGCTATCCCTCCGTGCCCCCCCCTCGTAACTCACCGTGCCCCCCCCCCCCCCCCCCCCGTGTCTCACCGTGTCTCACTCACCCAGTAGCAGCAGCTTCAGCTCCCGAGTCCTCTTGGACTTGCGAATCTGATCTTCGATGAGGTCATTAATTATCTTCTGTTCCTTCTGCTGTGGACTTTGGCAGCACGCCATTTAATACGACCAAAAATAACAACAAAACCCCCACAAAAATAATAACAAAAAACGCTAGCCGGTCTCTACAAATCAAAACAGCTACTTGTAAACAATCCCTACAGCTCGGCGCACGAGGCTAAATGAACCGGCTACTTGCGAGTCTTGAGTCTTTACTCAATCTGCCCACAACTGTTGAAGTCGTCGTTATTGGTGGTGGTGATGGTGGAGTTGGTGGAGGTGGAGTTGGTGGAGTTTCCCTCGGGTGGATTTCAGAGGACGTGGGGAGTGGGAGGCTCCCCCGCCACCTACAGAGCCACGGCCATCATCATCACCACCACCACCAACAACAACACAGCACGCACTGGGCGTAGTGTTGGCAGCAGTAGCAAACAGTCGGAGCAGTGACAGCAGTCGCAGCAGTGAAAATAACAGTAGTAGCAGAAGTATTGGGTCGTAGTAGCAGAAGGAGTAGCAGCAGTAGGATCAGTAACAACAGCAGTAGTATTAGTAGGAGCAGTGAGTACAAAAGCAACAGCAGTTGTAACCAATACTCGCGGAGAAGCAGCAGCGGTGGTGACGCGTGGTGACCGTGGGTGTGGATGCGGCGTGTGGCTGTGCTGCCTGAGCAGCAGCCACGCAGAGGAGGAAGCGCCCGGTTCCCCGAATGCGGGCGGGGGGGGGGGTCACAGCAGAGGGGCTTGGGGGTTGGTTGGACACCCTGGCCCAGCCACGCCAGGAATGCGGCTCAGGTGGTTTCCACCGCCTTCGCCCTTTCCCCTCCACCCCTCCCACGCGCGGGTTTATCCAGGTGAAGATCACGCATTCCAGGTATTAAAGAGACCCCCGCCCGCGGAGACTTTTCAAAACGGGCGGCTGCGACCTGTGACCTGTGCTGTTGGCGAGCACATTTTTAAAATACAGTCCGAAATGGCGTGACAGGTGGGTGGTGGTGGAGGTGCCGTGGGTCAGCATCACGCCGCGCCGCCTTTGTCTCCCCATTGCGTCGATGTGCACACACCGCACGAGAAACTCGTGTGGTTGGTTCCCGGCTACACCCTTATTATGGATGTGGGTGGCGGGGAGGTTCCCGTTGCAGCGCCATTAATGTAAAGGTCATGACAGCCGTCTGCATCCTCATCATTCCTCCTCCTCCTCGTTCTTCACTCACTCTCGTGCCTGGGAAATGCGAGTGGACCGGTCTGGCCGGGTTCACGCCCCACCTCTGCGCTGCCAGCTACGGCGGTGGTGATGCGCGTAACTCACCCATAATCACTCGCGCATTTGTGGATAATATTAACAATACCAAATAGATGAGCGCGTCGATTCGCCCTCCTCCTTCGCTTATCCGTTTTGTGTGTGTGTGTCGGAATGTTTGTGACACTGTACACCCTGCATCCCATCGGCCTCTCGGCAGCGCATGAAGTTCAAGACGAGCGAACCGTCTGGACCGGTTTTGACACGCACACTTGTCTGGATCAGCAAAGTCAGGCTCGCTTGAATCAATGCAGGCGAACAGCCAAATGTTTTTCATAAGATGTGTGTTGGGTTAGATCGCGTAAATATGAATGTGTCGTTAAACCGGCCACCACCCGACACAGCCAATTAGTAAGGTTTTGTTAAGTTAACAGAACGTGGCCAATTCGTCACTAGTACAGCAACACCGGCGTGTTGGAGAGCAAATCCACAACATTTACAATCTGAGCACGACGTTTCGCCAGTAATTACAACCGGCATCATCAGGCGGACAGCAGCCCGATGTGATGGCGTCACTTGCTGATTTGGCAAGGACCAGCTTCGACACACAGCGTCTCATCAGCAGGGTCGGGCTGGCGACACTGCCGATCGAAGAGGCAATGACCCTCCCTCTATCTCAAGCCACGCCGGTGCGCAAGGGCGTCAGCCGCTTACGGGCCACGAGATTGACTTCGTAATGATTTCCGCTGAACGTGGCACGGAGAGGCATCATGGGCGCGCGGGCGACGGTGCGTCATCGTTATATTCTTGGTTCTTTCGGTAAAGTCACGTAGGTAGAAAAAATAATAATAATCAATAAAACACATAATTTTTTTAAAAAAAATAATAATTTGAAAATAATAAAAGCAAAAAAAATCCACGTAACTGTTGTCAACGTCTCCCCGCTTTGGGTGTTTCTAGGCGGCGGTTGAAATCGTGCGAGCGAACCCTTGGCTCGTCCAGCGGACGGACTGACTCGAGTCGCATTCCGCACGAGACCACTTTGACTTCGTGGAGCGTGGCGGGGCTGACCACGCCACGTCCGGGAGTCGCAGACGAGGCGGCGTCCGTCACACGCGGCGCCCCACGCGTGTCGGTGGTCACGGGAGACCCGAGGGGCTTCAGCTCACCACCCCCTTCACCGGGCTCTCATCTGCTGTTGGTCAGAGTTCTTTATTTGAACCGCGGCGTCCCTGCCGAGGGAGGGTCAAGCATCGCGTGACGTCATTTATGGACGGCCCCTAGATGGAGGACTCTTATCGGTGAAGGTCATCGCAGCGCCATATAATATAATATATAATATATGGAGCGATCTCACGTGTGTTATAACTGGAATCTGTACTTATCGTGGAGAAATCCGATGAGCTATGAAGCTCTTTTCACAGTCGCGGCGGGTCAGAAAGTTACAACAAACATTACAAAATCGCGATCCGAGTGCAGAGTATAGGAAAGGTGAGGAAATCACAAAATCAATTCCACTGATAAAGTACCGTATATAAGTTTAACACCTAGGCTTTCGCGACCAATATCATCCATAATGTAGGTTTTGTTGGGTTCGATCGCGTAAATATACTAATGTGTCGTTAAACCCGCCACCACCCGACACAGCCGATTGCGAAGGGTTTGTCACGTAAACAGAACGTGGCCAATTCGTTACTAGTACAGCACACCGGTGTGTCGGAGAGCAAATCCACAACATTTACAATAATTTAACGACGCATTTGTACCGCATGTTTGTTGTTGTAGTACGGAGTTAGACTGATGGCCTTAATCTAAGTTGTCTTGTGGTTGTTGTTGTTGTTTGACTTGCATCCCACTGGGATTTTTGCACACAGCGTTGGTGCTATTTCAGGAATAGTTTGCTGTTTTTTCCTGGATTTTCTGTTTGCACAGTCACACAAAGTCACTTTAAGATGTTTTCTTACCAAATAAATGGAACTGAAAGTGAAATTCCCAAGCCGTACGTTGTGCGCAGGAGGAGCTGCGTTCATCGTCACATCACAGGACCCTGGCGGAGACGACGACTTGGGGAGACCTTCATCCAGCGGTAGATAGATCAAGGCCGGTGATTAATCCTTTAAAACGAGCTACAGTGGAGATTATGGGGGCGTGGGTGTTTGTGCAAGAGGGTTTTGCTCACGCGGCGCGAACCCGCGGGGCATATTGTCTAATTCCGTGTGCATTTGTCGTAACCACGTCTGTTTTGGAAGCCAATAAAAATTACAAAACTCTTCGTTATTAAACTTTTTTTTTTTACGGTTTCACATTTGTGCCATAAGACCCACCCACACCACCCGACATTTGTTTGTGTTCGTTGAAGACGCGACAGTGGTTGTTGGGCATTGTCTCTTGACAGCTCGAGACAATATCGCTTGCACACCGCGGCAGAATTCAATTTTTGTTTGGCTGCGTCGGGTGGTGGGAGGGCATCACGACAAAAAAAATGTTGGCCAGATGATTTTTTTTGCAGTGTTATACACGGTCGAATCCAACAATGTTATCAATGTATTTTTTCATCACTTAAACCTTCCGCGCAAAGTTATTTCCCCTCGCTGGCTTAAACACGTTTGAACTTTAAACAGCGACGTCGACCACCCCAGCAGTGGTCACAGAATGCTACCGTTGACGCCACCAAGCAAATGGAAATTCATTCACCGTCAAAACACCCCTGGCAAAGATGATCAAATGGTTTCTCCTCATACTTGAAATTCGGGTTTGACCAATCATGGTGTGGGCGCTACCAAGTTCGCCGCCTGTGGAGGGGGGGTGTTGGACTCTGAGCGATACCGGCGTCTCCTCTCGCTCGTGAGTAAAAAGTCAGTGGGCCGCTCGCGGGCGGTGGCTGTACGTGGCGTGACCTCGCAACGTTTTAATGTCAGATTTGTATGTAGGTCACGGTCAGATTTCATGGTCGCGATCACGGCCTGAGGGGGTCACGGCAGGCAGCCGTCAATGTCGTTTCCCGCGCAGTGAAATGGTGGCGCTTCAAAAAGCCAGACGCCGCCCGTTTGAAGCACAACTAATGTCACGAAACGCCCCTCCTGTGCCACAGCGCGCGGCCTCCCCATGGATTCTCAGCCATGTGCTCTTGCCCCGTTGTGCAATGCCTTGGGTATTTGTATTAGTACGGAGGGAATTGTGTTTGGCCGAAATGTTATATTTTTATACGCTGCGTATATTATTATGACATGAATTCCACGGTGTGGCGCGTGTCTACGTCTTAAATACAGTACTGTATTAGTAAAATAATTCATGTCCTGTCTTGAGGGAACATTTAAAGAGGACGAGCCGGTGCCTGTTTCCCGCCAGTTCCTCGTTAGTATAGTGGTCAGTATCCCCGCCTGTCACGCGGGAGACCGGGGTTCAATTCCCCGACGGGGAGGGCTGTTGATTTTTTTTGTTTTATTTCGACAAATACATTTATTTTACATTATTAAGCACTCGACGATATCACGACTTCGTGAAGATACATTTTATCTGAATATCCACAACGTTCAAATACAACAAACACAAACCATGTGGCTCGTCTGACTTGAGTCAGCTGCTTGCTGTTGTTCACGTTACCACGTGGAGGAGAGGACAGGTTAACTGATGGGTGACGATGTTGGGTTTCGTGGAGTCCGTGGCAGGCAATGCACGCCCAGGAGGGACCAGGGTCGCGTGCGCTCCACCAGGGGGCGGTAGGCAGCCACTCGGCGGTTCGGGGCCGTGACTGACGTGAATCACCCCGACACCGCCAGCATCAGATCTTCTCTCTCCCCTCTTACATGTCGAACCTCCACCGCAGCGTTCTTCAAATAGGATTTCTGGCTAGGGCCACATTTGGCCCGCCAGTTGAACGCTGCCTTTAACTCTTCAACTTTTTACACATTTGCCAGTAATGACTCCGTGTGTCTCTGTGTGTGTGGCCTTAACATTAAAACTCTATCATGGGCGACGTTTCAGGCAACAGCCCTTATTCATAGCATGTTAAATATTCTTCATAGAAGAAAGGCCATTGCCCGAAACGTCGCCTATTATATATGGTTTTCTTTTAAGGCCACATGCATTGTTGCTATTGGCCAAATCAGCAGCATCATCACCATAGCATGTTAAATATTCTTCATAGAAGAAAGGCCATTGCCCGAAACGTCGCCTATTATATATGGTTTTCTTTTAAGGCCACATGCATTGTTGCTATTGGCCAAATCAGCAGCATCATCACCACACAATTGGCTGAACCCATCAGTTAGTCCCTGTCCTGCTGCTCACCAAAACATCATATGCTCCACATCATTGGGTGTAGATCAGAAGTCCGGTGACAAAGGGGTAGAGAAGACCTAAGGCCAGATGGCAGCATAGTACCGTCCGGTTCAGATCTCGGGGGTTGCCGCGTGTCTCCTGTGCAGCAGCGGTGAAGTCTGGTTGGAGGGCAAAACGCGTTGTTAGCCATGTGGTGCAGTGAGTGGTGGAGCCATCGACGGAGTTGGCCATGATATCTCATCTTGAGGGTTTGAATTGTCATG